TAAATGTCATTGAGGCAAGTCTGACAAAGTGGTTAGTTAAGATGCACTTCGGATGCCTGCATCCATATCAGAGTGCCTGGTTTGAGTCCCAACTCCACTTCCAATTCCAGCTTCCTGCTAATGGCATCCAAGAGACAGAGGTGATGGCTCAAGTACTTTGGTTCTAGACACCAGTGTGGGAGACCCAGACTGAGTTCTGAGCTCTTGGCTTCATCCTGGCCCAGCTCTGGCTGGTGCTGGCATTTGAGGAATAAACCAGCAGATGGAAGACTTCTCGCTCTCATTCTTTCTCTCCCTCCTTTTCCCACCCCACTTCCATCTATCTCCACTCCCTTCCTCACACCTGCCTTTCAAACAAAATTAAAATAAAAAGTACCATTAATCTCTAAGTGAAATAAACCATAGTTGGAGTCCCAAGTTGAGTAGCTAAGAAGCAATTAGATCATTGTCTTCTGAAATGATTGACAGATGGTCTTTTAAAAAAAGATTATTTGAAATGCAGAGCTACAGAGAGGCAGAGAGAGAGAGAGAGGTCTTCCATCCGCTGGTTCACTCCCCAATTGGCTGCCTCAGCCAGAGCTGTGCTGATCAGAAGCCAGGAGACAGGAGCTTCTTCCAGGTCTCCCATGCGGGTGCAGTGACCCAAGGACTTGGGCCATCTTCTACTGCTTTCCCAGGCCATAGCAGAGAGCTGGTTGGAAGTGGAGCAGCTGGGACTCGAACAGGCACCCATATGGAACGCCGGCACTGCAGGCAGTGGCTTTACCTGCCACGCCACAGCGCTGGCTCTGACAGAAGGTCTTTAAAGTGATCTATGGTATGTGCTGGCACTGTCAGTTATGTCCTCATTGAAGAAGTAGCTGATGATAACCAGCAGAGGGTGTTAACTGAAAATAGGGGGGGAAATCATTCAGCAAAGTACAGAAAGGCTTTACATTCTACAGTTGAGATCAGTTTTGCAGGGCGTGTTGTGCTGCAAACAGAGCCAGCACCCCATGTGAGCATCGGTTCCAAGACCCAGCTGCTCCACTTCTAAATCATTTCCCTGCTAATGCACCTGGGAAAGCAGAGGAAGATGATGCACGTGCTGGGGCCCCTGCCACCCACATGGCAGATCATGATGGCTCCTGGCTTCTGCTTAGCCCAGTCCCCAGCAGTTGTAGCTGTTTAGGGAGTGAACCCACAGATGGAAGATTCATTCTCAGTCGCTCGCTCTCTATTTCAACTCTGCCTTTTAAATAATCTCTTTGTTAAACAATTTTGTTTTGCTTTGAATCATGAAGTCTCTCTTTTAGAAAAAGGACAAGATCAGGGGAAGAGTAATGGACAGGAATGGGGGGGGCCTTAAGAAAGTTCATGGAAAGTGTATTATGAAAAATATGTATTTCAAATTTTTGCATCAAAATATTTTTTCAAGATTTATGTATTCAAAATGCAGTTATGGGGGGTGGAGAGAGAGAGAGAATCTTACATCTGCTTGTTCACTCCCCAAGTGGCTGCAACAGCTAGGGCTGGGCCAGGCCGAAGCCAGGAGCCAGGAGCTTCTTCCAGGTCTCCCATGTGGCTGCAGGGGCCCAAGGCCTTAGGCCATTTTCCCCTGCCTTTCCAGGCACATTAGCAAGGAGCTGGATCAGAAGTAGAGCAGCCAGGACTCGAACTGGAGTCCATATGGGATGCTGGCATCATAGGCAGCTTTACCTGCTATGTCACAGCACCGGCCCCAATAAACATCTTTTAATTCCATTCTTCAGAAGCTTTTTGAAATCTTCTCATAGAGACACAACATTATTAACTGGTTAGAACTAAATGCTTACATGTTTTTGGTTACTTTTCTATAAAAGCTTGTTGCTCTGAGTACAATTCCAAAATCCACAAGAGTCTCTGAGAGGTGAAGGTTTTTTCATCATTTTGGCACCAAACCTCATTTGGTAGCCAGACCTGACCTTGACAGGCTTTTATGTATATAGTGTTTTTCTTTCTCCTAATAAGTAGTAATACTCATGTATTCTGCTGCAGAAATGTTAAAGTATATGATTACAGGTCCTGCCCCAAACTATACTAGTATTTCAGTCATAATACTTGCTGAAATCGGAAAAACCTGAAATTCTGAAATGTCTGGCTCTACAATGTGGTGACCGTGAGCTGTGGTATCCTGCTGTAAGTAATGTCCACAGGGGACAGAGACACGCTTGGGTGGGACAGCAGTGTCAGTCACTGGGGGAAGCACTGCTAGGGAAAGGAGGTCTTGTAATCTCCTTTAGGCTGCTCTAAGAAATTGCTAGAGACTGAGACAACCAACAGGCATTTATTTCTCACCATTCTGGCGGCTGGAAGGCTGAGACCAGGGTGCCACCACACAGTCAGGTTCTGGTCACAAGTGCTGACTTGTTTTCTTCATGTGTTAGACGGGGAAGCCAGGGAGCTCTCTGAGGTCTCTCTCCAAAGGAAACTCATCCCATTCACGAAGGCTTCGCCCACATGTCTTAATGATCTCCCCAAGGCCCCACCTCCTGCGGCCATCACATTGAGGGTGAGGATTCCAACATATGAATTTTGAGAGGATGTAAAACATCCAGCCCACAAGGAATATGCTGGTTTTCCCTGCCAATCATCATCCCACCAGCAGGTAGAACTAGGAAACATTGGAGAATACAGTTATTTTGATACTTGCCAAAATAGTAAAGAAGACTTCATTCAGGACTATTTTGTGAGAGATGTCAAGCTATTGCAGTACAGGGAAAGAAATGGCTCAGCTCCAAATGCAGCAAAAACACCCAGGGACTTTCAGCCAATAAGCAAAGTGAGTGGCTCAGTGGGTGAAAAATTACCATGGGTAGGCAACCAATTTAGGAGGATTAGTGTTAAACAGTCTTGCTGAAGGCAGACCAGGCTGATCATATAAGGAGAGTGGGAGAATCTCTAAAATGGTTTTTAGCAGCATTCCTGTTAAAATTGGAGTAGGCAGACTGAATACAGGGCCCAATAATGAGGCACCTTGTAGAACAGGGCTCAGAGGAGCCTAAAATGCAGCCTTTGTTAGAAACTACACAAGTCCTTGTGCACAGTGTACCACCTACATTCTAATAGAGAACTTGGCATCCTCGAGTGAGGCGATGCCGCAGCAAAAAGAAAACGTGGCATTGGCTAACCACTGAAATGACAAGCAGGGGGAACACACATTTCAGACATTTTGTCCCCTATTAAGCTGACAGTCCTGGTTGGAAAAAGAATGTTAAGAAGGCTGACTGTTGCTTAGTATTTTTAGTAAAGTACTACAGAAAGAACAGAGAAAGGAAGAGGAAAACGTTCAGATATTAAGAACTTTACAGGATTAGAAGCTGCTTCTAGACCCTGAATGGCAAAAGGGACTCAGGCGGCTTTTTAAGGTGAGGGAAAGCCCATTAGACTTCTCTGGCGATTGTTGGGCAAAGGGATGGATCCCTGTAACAAGCTGGTTCAGCATTCCCAGGGCAGTCTTACTTTCAATCATCTGAAGATGCTCTCTGTTAAAGGGAGGCTGGTTCCTATGAAGAAATGCAGCAAACTTTGAGAATTCGGTCTAGAAAGGAGCTTGGTAGCAGTTTCTGGCATATGAAGCCAGCTTATAAATAGCTTGAGATTTCGAGGAATTGTACTGCCAAAGAAACGTGAACTTGTTGTGAAAATGACAGGCACCAGTAACTTTTCAGAGAAAAAACCCGGAGAGAACAAGGGGAACCCCCGTCAGAGGTCAGAGCAGGGGCTTATCAAGGAGCTTCACTCGTAGGGATCCAAGCTTCAGTTGCCCAGTTTTCCAGAATTGCTCTGAGTGTTTATTCCTTTGTATCTGGCTATCCTGTTCCCATCACATTGGAAACGGTCAAGGGCAAGGATAAGAGCAAATGACTTGCCTAACAGTTTAGAGGTGGTCAGGTTATTAGATGCCACATCTAAACCTCAATGGACCTTACAAAAGCCAGATCTTGCACTGAGTCAGTAATGGATGAGTGTTGAGTATTTTCTATGTGAGGGAAGGTTGTGCACACATATTTAGCAAAAGAAGAAGGCTGTAACTAAGGCTGCTGGCTGTCACCAAAATCCTTTCTCTTATTCCATAGTAACATTGTAGCTGGAATTTGTAGCTTGGTAGTCAGGGCATCTCTCAACAGCTCATGTCTGGACGTAACCAGGTCTCCACACCACTGGAATGGCAGAAGACACATGGGCCATTTTCAAGTCCAACCCATAAAACCTTACATGTGTACACGCACATGTTCTTTCTCTGCAAATTAGAACTGTAGTAACTAGGGGCCAGTATTATGACAGCAGGTAAAGCCACCGCCTGTGATCCCAGTATCCCACATGGGCCCCAGTTCATGACCTGGCTGCTCCACTTCTAATCCAGCTCCCCACTAATGGCCCAAGTGTTTGGGTTGCTGCTACTCTCATGGGAGACCTGGAAGAAGCTTCTGGCTCCTAGCTTCAGCCTGGCCCAGCCCAGACCGTTGTGGCCATCTGGGGAGTGAACCAGCAGATGGTAGATCTCTCTGTAACTCTTTCAAATAAATAAATAACCCTTTTAAAAATTTTTGTGATAACTAGAATGACTTTGAAGCCATGGTTGCAGTGGCAGAGCATCCTCAATAACTGTAAATAATCACATGCAACAAAGCCTGCTGGCCTGGAATGCTCACCTCAGAAACCAGCAGCTGTGAGGCAGACTGCTGCTATTTACTTAATTTTTTTATCATTGGGTCTCTTGTTATGGCAGCTGAGCCTAAAAAATATATCCCTTTTCCTTGGAGATCTTGGATCCTTTTGAGTGATTTTCATGTATTATTCATCAATGTATAATAACTAATAATATTTATATTAATAAAAAGAATGTTCCTCTAGATACTCAGTAACTGACTACCTTAAATAAGATATGCTATTTACCCTGAGGCACTGAACACCCTGGATCCCCCACTCTCCCTATGTACCCCACTTTACTTAAAACAACTGTATCAAAACACACATAATCTCTGAAACAGCTTTTTATTAAACAGCAAAGCAGAATTGCAACACAATTTAAATATCTGTCAATCAGGTCACAAAAGGGATGCAAAATGTTTGTAGTGTAACTACTATATATTCATACATCAAATCTTACACTTCTACAATAAGGTTATTCCATGATTAAAAGTAGTCAAATCTAGTAATCATAAACTATATTATTTGATCTCTTTTCCTAGAACATTTTAATAATACTTCTGACATTGATTATTCCCTTACCAAACAGTCTACAAACTAAGTTTTTAAAAATTGTTAAAGGATAATGAAAACTCTGCAAACCAAGTTGACTTTACAGAAAATTCTGGGAGAACAAGTAAGATAAAATACTGAGCAAGGTTATCAATTAGTGCACCCGTGAAATTCTCCCAATTCTGATACTAATATACTCAAGGAGTTTTGCAGTTGATCTGCTGGGTTCTACAAATAAACCTTGAGACCAAATTCTTTCTACTGTTCTCTTCTGGTGGTGGCTTATGTAAGGTCAAACAATCCATTTTCAAATATACTCCCCAAAATATGTACTCTGCACTAGAGATCACACAACTCTCGAGTGAAAACATCTGGAGTTGTTTCACTACTGTTTTACCAAGTACTTTTACACCCTAGTTTATTTTCCCTCAAGATTTTCTATTTTTAAGCACACACATGACTAGGACGCCTATCTTTACAGATACCAAGTAGATTATCTTGTACAAAAGGAAGCTTTTAAAATTCATGACAATTTACTTTCAAGGAAAAGTCATTTTTTTAGCCTCCATCTGTTTTCAATTGATTAAAGAGAAACCAGCAATCCTATCTTATTACTAAGTATCACAAATGACAAGCCCTAGCTGAGAAAGTATCTTATTTTGGTTAAGTTTCAACAATTAGGGTTCAGATTACATCATAGATGATTAACTATTAAAATTACTTTTACAAATGTCAAACTGTTTTCCTTGGGGAAGTGAGTGGGAAGGAAGAGGCAAATGGAGCAGAGGCACAACATGGTGGACAGGTACATAAAGCTGTGCATTCAGGACATGATTTTGGTCACTTTTTCACAACATGGTGGGTTTTTCTTGTATATCTTGCTAAGCCTATAATAAAAGACAGTGCTAAGCCTATAAATCAAAGTAAACTCGATAAAACATTCATCTTCAAGTGTCATAAATATATGCGATTCTAATTATAAAGTCTCTACAATACATTTGCACATTTTCATAGACTAACATAATACACAAACTTGTGGAAATCTCCAGTTAAGTAGTTAATTTTGCCTACATCTGACATTATCTTCCGAAATATTCAGTGAAGCCACAAATAAAAGTACTGTAACTTTTGGAATCTATCGAAGTTTTAAAGGAAAAAAAAAGGTCAGCAGCAACTCCATGAAAGAGAAGGGACATCAGTCCCCTACTTCCTTTTGCTTTTCGTGTCAGTTGTTTGAAAAACACTGGAAGCTGACATGAGGTTTTCTATATACTGTCCAAGAACTTGGTTTTCTGATTTAAGCTTCAGATTTTCTTCCTTAACTGCATCTACTCTTGCAGAGAGATCTATGTAAAAAAATAAAAATTCCATTATCAATAATTTGATGGTGATGACTCTGTATCACAAAATGCTTAAGATTATTCAATCCTAAGATTATTTTAGAGAAGCTAAAGCAAAAAGCAAACTGTGAATCACTTGACAACAATTTTTAGAGATTCTACATTAGACCAAATGTTTTTAAACAGTATTTGTGTTAAGCACTTAATTTTTATAATGATTATTTTTTAAGACTGTTTTTAAAACATAAATTCTAGTTCATGTCACATACAACCATAACATCTTTGCCAGCAATGTTTAAAATATGTATTGGGTTAACCCAGCTGCATTCATAGTTATAGGCAGTTAGTTTCCAAGCAACTGATCATTTTGTATTTGTATGTTAGCATGAAATTAAAAAGCAGCAGTTCCTGATGATCAAGCAAAATCTTCATTGATTCATTTAACAAATATATGTATTGGGTGTGCCCTAAGAACTGGGCATTGTTCTCAAGGCAACAGTAAACAAACAAACAAAAAAGTACTTATGGGAACATGTGCATTAGGGGATACAAACATTAAATAAGCAAATACAGTGTCACACAGTGATGAGTTGGTCTGGAGAAAAGGCAAGGTTAAGGGTTACTAGAGACCTAAAAGAAGTGACAGAATGAGCCAGATAGATATGCAACTACGGGAAGAAGATCAAAGCAGAGGCCAACAGCAACTGCTACAGCCCTGAGTGGAAGCATGCTTGACAGGCCAAAAGAACAGCAGGGAAGTGAGACAGGCTGAGGCTGACTGTATGAGGCAGAAGTGACCTGAGTCTGAAAGTACCCCTGGAAATCATAGATGTTGGCTTTTAACAACTCTATAAAAGCCTCTGGAGGGTTCTGTGAGACATGATATTTTCTATGGTGCCAAAAAACACAAAAATACAACTTCATAATTAGCCAAAAGATACTTGTGGGGTAGTATGAATTTTACCAAGACATTCAGAAAATGGAAAAAATTCAGATGAACCCTCTTTTAATCTCTAAGCCTGATATATTGTTTTTACTTTACTATAAGCTTTATTAGAGTATAGGTAGTAACAATGCAGGACTTACAAGGGGCTCTTGTACCAAAAAGCATTATATTAACCCTTAAAGGGGGAAGCCTGGGATCATCATTTGACTTCCTTTTTGAAGCATACTATTTGTTCTTTAAACCACCATCCAAAGCTCCAGGCCAGAAGAGGTGGAAGAATAAGACCTTTACAAGTACCCTTTAAAAATTATACACACTAACAAAATTTAGCAACATAAATGCTTAAAATTCCAATTAACTGGATGCCATTCAAGAAAACTACAAAATGTAAGCTAACCTTCAAGTGTGTGTTGGAGTTCCAACACTTGATTAATAAGTCGTGTTTTTTCCTCCAGTTCCACCTGATTTTCGGCATCAACTGCTGTAATAAAAAGGTTCAAAAAGTACTGTTAATTAACAGTAAGTATCATTTGCCTTGAGTAGTACTTAAAACTGCAAATCCTTCATCTGTATTATCTTACTTGACTTGTACAGAGCCCTGGCAATGAAAAGGTTACATCCCCACAATGCAGATGAGGACAAGAGGGTGAAGATAAACATGACCTGTCAACATCACCAGTTAAGGAATGGAAGCTGCCTTAGAGCCTTTCTAAAATTAGATGAGATATAAATAAGTAAATGAGCCACAATCCAAGTCTTCTAAATACTACTCCTCTGCTTTATATTGCTTAATAAGCAAAAGTCCATAAAACCAGTAACATTACGAAAAGGAAAATGAAGATCATACCATCCATGTCAGCATTCATCATCTTGGATAACAAACTTCTGGGCCGTGGATGCCAAATCCTTGATGAATGTTCTACAATAAGGTAAAGTTAGAAACAGAGACACACAGAGGAATAAAATGTTAGATTGTTTTTCAAAAATGATTATGTAGTCACATTACCCAACCCAGCAGGACCCTTTCCACACGCCTTACGGTTTCTAAGAATAAAGTAAATAACTTTGGATAAATAATGAACAAAGAGTACAAATAGATTACAATGATTAAATTAACAATAGAAAATGTTGAGCTTCTTGATTAAAAAATACATAAAATTAAATCCCATTGTACATTTATTAAATTTTTTAAAGGTAAATAATGATCAATGCTAGCAAAGAAGCATGGGAAAACACATAAATACTGGACACAAACTTTACCTATTCTTTTTTGGAAAGCAGTATAATAAAGATTCATAAAAACTTTTACTGAGCATTTTATTACCCCTAGGAATTTAGCCTAGGGACAATTACAATTACAATTAGAAACAACAAAACTATCCACTCTGAGTCTGGTAAATTACAGTTGTAATTTTTAGTGTCATGGCTACTAAAAAGAATCATGACAACTAAAACAACATGGAAAAATTTTTTATAAAATTATATATTCACTGACATAAATTATGTAAAATATATAAATATGGCTAAAAAGAACATAGCAAAATAAAATAGCTCATATAAAGGATGATGGTAGAGATGAAAACAAATGTTTTCAAAACATTCATTATTAGGGCTACAGCTGTGATGTAGCAGGTTAAAGCCCCAGCTTGCAGCACCAGCCTCCCATACAGGTGCCAGTTGAAGTCCCGGCTGCTCTACTTCCCATCCAGCTCCATGCTAATGTGCCTGGAAAGCAGCAGAGGATAGCCCCTGCACCCACGTGGAAGACCCAGAAGAAACTCCTGGCTCCTGGCTCCAGTCGTTGTGGCCAATTGGGGAGTGAACCAATGGATGGAAGACCTCTCTCTCTCTAACTTCTCTCTGTAACTCTTTCTTTCAAATAAATAAAATATTTTTTAAAAATTCATTATTAAAGCAATATTTTACATATACTGCTTAATTTTTATAAATAAAGTTTAAAAGAAAATTTAGATATCTGAAACATGCATATGGAATAAATGAAAAAATTCCACTTGTCACCTCCTGATTATAGTTAAATCAAAATAGACTAATCGGGATGTAGATAAGAAAATAAATATTAACATTTTATTAGAGCAAAAGATGCCTATGAAACAAATTATGTTATATTGCTAACATTTCATATTCAATGTATTTCACTTACTAAATAATGCTAGCATTCTATTACTGAAAACAGATGTGTTAGCCAAATACAATCTATTATACTGAAGCAGCCTAAGACCCATCTAGTCGATGTTGTTACTCTTTCAAACGAGAACTAACTGAACATCTACTACACCCAAGGCATGAGTATTACATCTCCATATGCTAACCAGTGGAACTCAGACCTATTAAAGAAGCTTACCTACTCCTAGAACTGACATCACAATCAAAAGATGAGTACACTATACAGACCCTCACAGCTTCAATTAATTTATGTGACATTTCAGGTAGTAGTGTACAAATGGAAATACAATGTCCAATTTACATATGTATAAACTTCTTCTCAAGTAAGAATCATTCAACCTAAAAAACAAAGACACCAAACAGCCCTTATACATAGCATTATTTAAAAAGACACTAACTACAAATGGTATATAATCAATTTTAAAATGCTTAATAAACCTACTTCCAAGTCTTCTAGCATCTTCCCACTTACAGCTGTTCTCCCCCATCTCTCTTTCACATGGTTTTAATTCTCAGGTTCTCTACACTTCAGAGAAAGGATATATTAGTAGGTCTACATAAATCCAAATAAATTGATTACTAAGGTTTTTTTTTTTTTTTCAAAATTTCTTTTATACAGTTATTTAACCTATTACAAGTGTTTGGAGACCACACTTCAAGAAGTATTCCTCTCCATTCAATTACCATATCTGGAATTGAAAAAGAAGAGTGTTAGCACTGAAAAACTGATGGGCCACTTCCCTGAGAAAAGAAAACATTTCTAAGCAGGTGTCGTCAGTCCAACCATTGATCTAGCTAAGCAGGTCTGAGAAATGGCAAAGGCCACAGCCAAACACAAAAGGGACACTGGGACTACACAGCCAGCAGTACACTGCAATTTGGTATTGTCCTTGCTAAATTATTTTAAAGTACTTCAAGTGTCTAATATTCAGTTTTTTAAAATACAGCTAAAACAATTTTAAGACAGCTAAGAAGAATTACATAACATAAAAGCCAAAGCAACAAATAACCATCTATCCAACAATCTGATTTTGAAATCAAAGATAGCACAGGAATGGGCTATTCTTTTGCTTATGTTTAGTCAAATATTAAACCAAAAAGTCTTCCACCAAAAGCACAAGTGCTCCAAGCTGACCAATGCAGCAGGTATGGAAATAGAAGGCAGTTTCTGGAATTTTGGCCACATGTAATCCAGACAATAGAATCTTTATGCCTAACTCCATGGTTTGACTTCATCTAAAAAGTGAAAACTGGCGGGGGGAGGGGGGCAGTAAAGCAAGGTGGAAAGGGATTATTGAAGCAAAAATTACTTTAAAAGTACATTCCAGATTGAGGTTGGGGCAAGAGTACAAAAGCAGGGCCACAAGGACAGCGCTACAGCAAAACCACACAACCTGAGAGAACATGTGAGACTGCACCCCTGGGGCCGTCTAATGCAAAACGTGTGCATCATCTAAATCTCCTGATTTATTGATGTGTGGAACAACAGTTTTCTTTAGTTCTTTAAAGTGTTTTCGCCATGGATTTTCTTTCAACGTCAGATCAGACCTCAAACTGCTCATCTGCAGGAGCACATTTAGCTCAGCATTACATCATAATAGGTACTTAACACAAGATTTTCAGGTTTATAATCTTTTTATCTGTAGTTGCCATCACATCAATCCAATTCCACGTCAAATGTGCTCTTAAAAGTTCAGTTTCAACTCCTCTTGCTTCAACACACAATTCTGACATGAAGGCAGGGGATAGCATCCCAAGTGTGGGAACACAGAAATGAATCCAAGCTGCCAAGGCTGCTCCGCCTATCCTAACCCTGCCTTAGCTCCATTAGCTCTGAGGTTCCTTGGGTCAGACCTTTCAAAACATTTTACAAACATCACAATGAAGTTTGATAGCTATCCACACCTAGCCTTTGTTAATGGAACAAACCTTGACTTTTTCTTGGTCATTTAATTACAGAAAGTAGAAGGTATGGAGAGAATAAACATCTAGGAACTAAGGCATGAGGAACATAACTAAGGCATAAGGAACAAGAGCTATTTAAATAAGTAAATTATCTTTTCCATGGTCACCCACCTGAGTGTAGCCAAAGACTACCATCTTAACAAATACAATGCTACCTCTAATCATGCACAACACCTCTCTTCTCAAAAGGCAGTCTGACACAGCTATTAACAACTCAGATTACAGGGATCCAAACCCTAGCTCTACTGTGAGCTCGAGAACCTTGGTAAGGTTGACATCTCAGTCTCTGTTTCCTCATCTGTATCATGAGGATAGTAATAGTATGTGCACCTCATGGGTTTGTTGTGATCATCTAATAAGCTTGTAACAGCACTTTGTACATAGTAGGTATCAACAAATGTTAGCTATTTATTTTCTGCCTTTTAGCTCTAATTTGGGCCACAGAAAGAATTTCAGAAAACCATCTGGTCCAGCTGTCTCATTTTACAAATAAAGAACCCAATGTCGAAGATGAGATCCGCTTACTCAAGATCACGGAGGTAAGTTACCCACAGCACCATGACGACATACAACCAGTGGCCCGCTATGGACCATTCCAAAACAGCCGGGCTAACATCTGGAACCTAAAATTTTGACTTTTCCCTAAAACGCATCCAACCTCAACCACCCGGCGTTTCTCCACCTAAAATTGATTTTCTTCATCTGTCACCCATTTACTGCTAGTGAACCTGTAAAGCGCTTTGCTAAACTTAGACTGATGACACTTCGACTGCTAAAACCATTCACTTGCTAAGCACTTTACATACGTTGTTTCATCAAACTAACATTTGGAAATTGCACCTTGCAGATCGGGACACCACGCCTCAGGTTTCACAGGCAACGTCTGTCTCAAGAAGTTGAATCCGGATTTAATGTCACTGTTCCTGCTTTTTCTGTTCCGCAATGGAAGCAGCTTTCGTGTGGCCCTCATCAAAAGTTGCCAAACACTTTGCAGCCCCTGATATCAAACTCCTTTGGTTTTTCTAACTAAACTGAGATGAATCCCATTCCCTTCGAACTGTGCCAACTGCACGATGACTGCAACTTCATTTCACAGAGATCCAACTTGCTCTGATTTAGTAAATCCGGTTTCAAATTCCAGTGATCAAGGAACCGCTGGGCCAAATGAGGACTTAAATGGGTGTGGACGCCCAGAGTGGCTACCCACATTTTTAATCAGTGAGTACAGGCTTCAGCACACCTAGCTTTGGGACCTCAGGTGCGGGGAACATCTTGATTGCCTCCGTCCTTAATATTGTTACATCACAGTCTGAAACCCACACACTGCCTAACACAAGTCCTGCCTTTCAGGAATGTAACCCCTTTCTCCTTTCCAAATCCTCACTCCCCAATACCTGTTCAGTGGGTTCTCTTGAGAACCGATGAGGAAACACACCCAGGCGCAGCCTTCTGCCCCTGGATGCCCCAGCCCCGACTGCACCGCTCACTGGCCTCCCTCGCCACCTCGGCGTCCTCGCCCGGCATCCAGGCTCCTGCAAGTCCCAGCCCACCCGAATGCCCCATCCCGCAGTCCCATTCCAGAGCCGGGGGCGCTCAACCGGCGGCCCCGACCCCAGAGCAAGGGCTCTGTTGACGGGGCTCGCAGGCCGCCAAAAGGAACCTAGGGGCCCAGTCCTGAGAGGACGAGAAAACGAGGTTGCGTAGGGGCTCTGCGGGCAGCCAGGCCTCAGCCGCCCACCAAACGCCCAGGCCCGAGGCCGCTCTTCCCGGCCCGTGGCGTGCCGAGCCGCGGCCAGCCCGCCCCGCCCGCCAGGCCCTCGGCGGTACCGAGGCCGCACCTCCAGTCGCCAGGGGCCAGGCCCTCCGCGGCCCAGGTCGGCCCTCACCTTCCGTTAGAGGCGCCGGGGAAGGGGAGGGATCGGGAGGACGCCTCAGGCCAGGAGACTTGGACCAACTGACACCGGCAGCTCCGCCCTCCCCGCCCACAGAGCGTGCGCCAAGAGAGGAGTCCCGCCCAGTCCCGCCCCGCCGCCCGCCAATCCCCACTCAGGAATGCAAGCCTGCGCGTTAGCTGTCCGCCGCCCCAGGGTCCGCCTGTGCCGTAACAGAAAGACATTGCCGTCCAATCAGAGCTCAGGGCTCTGTGGGCGGGTCCGAGGCAACAGCCAATGACAGTACAGCCGCGAAGCTGAGCGCGTAAAGGCGGCCCTAGCGAAAACAGCTCTGCATTCTCCACGGGAGTCCGAACACTGGCGTCCGGAAAACGGACGGGAAACCCCGGTTACGGTCGGCAGGAGGGGACATGATGAAAACGCCGGGCGAGAGAGGAATCCTCACATTCAAGAAAAGGGCGCTTGCGTGTAGAACAAAGGCATTACGCAGTTGCTCACTTTTAAAAGCAGATTTTTCCATATATTTTTATTTCCAAATTCTGAAAGCTCCTGAGTGCACCGGTCCGTATTTTCTTCCCCTGTCATGAAATCCACAGTACACCTGGCCATTTAATGCTGTTCTAGAAATACTAGTACTTCAATCCTGCTGTCACCTGCTCCTATTGGGTCCTCACAGCGCCCGCAGGAACTGGAGCCCAGAGCGCGCACAATCCTAGTTCAAGGTCACACGTGCTGTGTGCCAGGCTTGGAGGTGGACTGTGACCCGCAGGATGCTGTTCGTAAGCACCCTAGCACTGGACGCAGAAGCAGCCTCCTCCTGGTTTTCCGAAGTGGTCAGGAGCGGTCAGCAGCAGCGCATTGTTCTGTCTTTGAAGTTCCCTAGCTGTAGGAGGGAGCACTATGCCTACCAGTTTTTTGACGTTTTGCTACTGCATAGCCTTGCTCCTTTAAAGGATTATGGAAAACATCTAGTACTTGCTGCTTGAGAACCATACATTTGTCTGGGACTACAAAACTCAATTTGAGGCAATTTATTACAATGCAATGCAGAAACTAAATAAATGGCAGAGGTTGGGGGTAGGGGATTAAACAGATCTAATAGTAGGGGCAAGCATCAGCTGCAGCAGGTAAGACGCTGGCATACCAATCCAGCGTGTCTGGGCTTGATCACTTTTGCTGCTCAGGAGGCAGCGGGTGATGGCTCAGCACTTGGTTCCCTGCCACCTATGTGGGAGTTCTAGGCTCCTGGCGTTGGCTTAGTCAAGTCCCAGCTGTTGTGGGCTTTTGGGGAGTGAACCAGTGAATGGCAGGTCTGTCTGTCTCTCTGTCTTTGAAATGAATGGGGGGAAAAAATCTAATAGGAATATCAAAAACAGAATAGCAAGAATGGATGTGGGTAGTAATAACTAAGAAATTTCTAAGAGTAAGAACTAAGAACTAACTAAGAATAATAGCGAAAAATTTTCCTAGATTGGAGTATTTGAATCTCCACATTCAAAGATATTTTATTCTTGAGCAGGACTAATGTAAAGAATTTCATGCAGTGGTGAAACTGCAGAACACCCAAGATCAAGAGAGACTATTACAAGTATTTTGTTTTGCTAGAACAGTGGAGAAACACACAACATGAAGTTATATCTTAACCATTCTTAAGTTCAATAGCCTTAAGTCCATTCACAAGCTTGTGCAACTGATCCCCCAGAATTCTTCATCTTCCTACAATGAAACTCTGTACCCATCAAACAACTCATTTTTACTACCCCCTGCTCCTGGCAACCTCCACTCCACTTTCGGCCTCTGTGAGCTTGAGTGCACTAGAACCACAGTATATGTGGAGTCACACAGAATTTGTCCTTTTGTAACTGGCTTATTTCACTTACTATTATGTCCTCAATACTCATCCATGTTGTAGCACATGGTAGAATTTCCTGAATAGTACTCCATTGTGCGGATATACCAAACGTTGTTTATCCATTCATCTGTCGATGGATGCTTATGCTTTTTCTCTTTGTGGCCATCATGACTAATGCTGCTATGAACATGTGTGTGCAAATACATCTTTGAGATCATGTTTTTAGTTTTTCTCAAAATGGAATTGTTGGATCACGTGGTAATCCCATTTTGCCTTTTTTGAAAATTTTTACTTTATTTATTTATTTGAAAGGCAGAGTAAGAGAGATCCTCCATCTGCTGATTCATTTCCAAATGGCCACAACACCAGGGATTGGGTCAGACCAAAGCCAGGAGCCAGGAACTCCATCTGGGCCTCCCACATGTGTGGCTAGGGCCAAATACTTAATCCATCATTGGCTGCCTTCCCAGGCACATTAGCAGGGAGCTAGATCAGAAGTGGGGCAGCCAGGACACGAACTGGCATTCCTAATATGGGATGCTAGTGTGTCAGGTGGTGACTTAATATGTTGGGTCAATACCACTCCTGCTCCTGGCAATTCTATTTTAAAGCACTTTTTGAAACTGTGGTATTGGGGCTGGCAATATGGTGCAGTGGGTTAAAGCCCCAGCCTGCAGCACCAGCATCCCATATGGGCACCAGCTTGAGTCCCAGCTGCTTCTCTTCTGATCCAGCTCTCTGCTATGGCCTGGGAAAACAGTGGATTATGGCCCAAGTCCTTGGGCCCTGCACCCACGTGGGAGACCCGGAAGAAGCACCTGGCTCCTGGCTTCGGTTCAGCGCAGCTCCAGCCCTTGCGGCCAATTGGGAAGGGGACCAGTGGATGGAAGACCTCTCTTGGGGCTGGCGCTGTGGCACAGCGGGTTAAAGCCCTGGCTTGAAGCACCGGCATCCTATATGGGCACCAGTTCTAGTCCTGGCTGCTCCTTTTCTGATCCAGCTCTCTGCCATGGCCTGGGAAAGCAGTAGAGGATGGGAAAGCAGTTGAAGTCCTTGGGCCCCTGGACCCACGTGGGAGACCTGGAAGAAGCTCCTGGCTCCTGGCTTCAGATTGGTGCAGCTCCAGCCGTTGACCCCATCCATTGGAGTAAACCAACGGATTAAGACCTTTATTTCTGTCTCTCCCTCTCACTGTCTGTAATTCTACCTCTACAATAAATAAGTAAAATCTTTGAAAAGAAAAGAAATTATCCAATCTAAACAATAGATAGAAAAATGGGTGGAGATATGAATAAAACATCAAAAACCTGTGGAATGAGAAAGATGGAACACCAGTGTCGTCAGAGTTTCAGAAAGAAAAGGAAAATTGTAAGGCACTGAAAAGTATTTGAGGCAATAATGGATTCTGAGTTTGGCAAAAGACAACTTAATGGAGGAAGAATGTGATTAAGATGGCATCTAAAAAGGCCCCTGAGTGGAGGGAAATAATGAAAGGACACAATGATGAAAGGAAACAATGATCTAGACACTGAGTATCAACATCATTAACATCACAAAGAGACACAGTCACATGTCATTTACTTTCCTACCTATGAAGTCAGTAAACATGGAAAGAAAGAAAATTGCACCCTGTTTGATCAAGCCCATAACAGCAAATGCAGAGGACAAATACATCTAATCTACCCCCAGGATAAAATTAGTAAACCAGCCATGGAAAACACTACAGAACAAAAAACAACACACAAACAAAGCCTTTTTTCAAACAAATAAATTGCTCTGAGGGGGAAAAAAAGTCAAAAGAAAACCTGAAGCTTGCATGTTTATAAATACACATTTTAGAAAACAGAAAAACAGCTTTACTTTAGATGATAAAGCTATTTTTTAAATGCCAAGAAAATTTTGAGATTAAATATGGTTGAGAGTGTTTACCTCTTCAAAATTCCAGAACCAAACATGTGTTTGCTAGAGAACTTAAAATTTAAAAGACATTTTTAGATAGGCTGGCAGTGAAGCACAGCTGTTTAACCAACCTCCTGGGCTACCTGCATCCCATAGCAGAGTACCTTATTCAAGTCCTGCCTCTGCTTCCTATCCAGCTTCCTGCCAATGCACACTTTGGGGGGCAGTGGGTAATGGTCCAACTACTTGGGTCCTGCCACCCACGTGGGAGGCTTGTATGGAGTTCTGGGCTCCTGGCTTCAGCCTGCCCCAGCCCTGGCTGTTGCAGGCATTTGAGGAATGAACCAATAGATGGAAGCTCTCTCTCTCTCTCCAACAAACATATATAAGTATATTAGAAAACTATCTTAAAAGGGTAGAATAAAAAGGATAAAATTTAGGTTAGAGAGAAATATATTATTCACAAAATGTTACAACTTTGATAAGAGTGTAACTGTTAAGATCTGCCCTTAAGTGAATAGAAAAACAATAACAACCTTGAAACAAAAAAAGGTGGCAAAAAAGTGTAGTAACCTAAATGGACATAACAAGGGAATTGAAACTTTTGCAAATTGTTCATGAAGTGACCATCCCCTAAACTATATATTGATCTTATACAAAATTTCAGTAAAATAATTTAAAAACTTAGTTGCAAAAAGTTCCCTTCTTCTGAATAAGGAAAAGATACAAGCACAA